GATGTCAGCACAGGGCAAAGTAATATTACGTAGTTAGTATCAGCAATTTCTTATGCTGAAGTGTACGATGTGTTGCATACCTATTTACAAACAATTTCTTTAAATTTAATTTTTTAAACAATTTTTAACACAAAGAAAGCGATTAAACAAATTGTTCACAAATTTCAACCACTCAAAGCACTGAACTAACAGTTTCGAGCTCACAGTGACTGGTAGATAGGGGAAGATCTAGTATTCTTACAACAAAAATTACCTTCAATTTTTGTTTTAAATATGGACCCAAACGTTGCCTGTGATTCATATTTATTAAAACACTTTTCCATGTGCTTAATGGCTGTTTTTGAGTGAATCTCGTGACCACAAGTAATACAGTATGTTGAAATCTCGGTGTCATCGTCATTGTCTGTCTCTTGGTTTGGAACAATACTAGCATTTTTTGCTCTGTCTATGATAAGGTCCAATTCCCCATGGCGTTTATCTAATTCTTGTAAAATTTGCCTTACTTCAAGCTGCTGCTTTCTCACTTGGTCAAGAGCTATAAAAAAAAGAAATCTCTTTTGTTTCTTTCCTTATTACCAAAAAGTGACGTCTATGCACCTTTAATATTTTTTTCTTCAGCAATACAAGGGCTGAGGGCCCATTCTTGTATTCTTTGCGGTAACACTTGACAAATACGATTGGTTGCGAGACGAATTCCGCAGACGTCTGAACAATATTTGGAGCCATAGCGTGCACTATTGCTACATCCAGGGCCATAACACTGTCGGGGGTAGTCTGTCATTAAATGGGTTGCTGTATTGGGTTCATTATCTGAGGTGGAATCCCTCCTTTTGCGACGATTATGGCTCCTACATAAAAAATTAATTTAGCATTTTATCAATACATCAATAATAAACAGTTTGTATTTTTCCTTTCATACAAGTGTATTGCTCACCCCCCATAATTAACACAAATACGTTGCTTGCAACGTTCTTTTTGTCTACTGTGTTTAAATTTCCTTGTACAAACATCACACCGACCACAATCTTCTGTTCTGTAGCATCCCATACAATCTCCACATTTCTTCTTTTTCTTGTCTATCTTATTTTCACTACGATCCTTCCGTTTTCGGGATCTATGTTCCTCCTTATCAGTATAGTTATCCTCACGTTTGGTCTTCCACCGTGTAATGAGTGTAGGATCTTCTTCATGACATCTTATGCAAACATATTGCTTTATTAGCTTGGCTTCTTTCTCAGAAATGGCTATACAATCTCCGTGATACCTGTTGAAATGGAATAAATAAATCGTCACCAGTCATTTCGAATAAAAAGGATTGAATACCATTCTTCACAAGCATCACATGCTATCATGAATCTGGAACTATCAGAAGATCTGCAAAGACAATAAGCCTGTCCATCCTGCTTGAGAAGAGTATCAATTTTTGACTGACGTTCAGGTAAGCTAAATTGTTTTACAATTTCTTCATGCTAGAACGAATTAAAATTTTATAACCTTAACGCTTTTTTATAAACTAACCTTACAGATATGTCTCGTCTCCTGGCCATATTAAACACAACACTAATAATTAACACTAACGTAATTCTTTTACTATAAACTTCCAGTGCAAGAAAAACAAATTTAATAAGAACTTTAATGGAACTTATTTTTTACATGTCCTGCCATTTTATTTATTGTTGTCATTGTTGTATATGTACTCTATGTATCATTTTTTTAGTAAGTCTATGGTAAGATTTGTTGATATAATCTATAGTTGTTGACTCATAACCATAGACCGCCACCATAGATTACCCTTTGTATCTTCGACCATATATATATGGTCGAAGCTTTGTATATCTATTATCTATGACCTAACTGCAGCTATAGATAAACCATTATCTATGGATAAACCACATCTGCCAAAGTCATTCACAAAAAGGTTTACGTGGCTAATCTTTATTTTATATTAAAAATGTATGGCAATTTGTTAATTGTATTGTTTGCATATTCTTCGATAATAAATAGTGTTTCGTGTTATTATATAACAGTTGATGCAGATGCTGAAGAATGTTTCTTTGATAAAGTTGAAAGTGGCACAAAAATGAGTAGGTTATGAAGTATTTCTCAAATAATTAAAGTAATTTCTCATTTTTTCGTTATAAGGTCTCACGTTTGAAATAGCTGAAGGAGGCTTCTTAGATATAGACGTTCGTATAGTGGGTCCTGATGGTAAAGTGATATATCAAGGTGAAAGAGAATCTTCTGGCAAATACACATTTGCTGCACATGCAAATGGTATTTACACATATTGCTTTTCAAATAAAATGTCCACAATGACCCCTAAAGTGGTCATGTTTAACATGCAAATTGGAGAATCAGCTAAACATGAAGAAAATCAAGGAGAAGAAAGCAGTACAAAATTAGAAGACATGATACGGGAATTAAGTGGTAATTTCTTAGTCAGCTTTCTTTTAGTAATTTCTCTATTATACAATGTTTCTTAGGTGCCTTAACTGGTGTTAAACAAGAACAGGAATACATGCAGTTGAGAGATCGAATTCATAGGAGCATTAATGAAAGTACAAATTCTAGAGTTGTAATGTGGTCATTCTTTGAGGCTGTTATACTAGTTGCAATGACTTTTGGTCAAATTTATTACCTTAAGAGATTTTTTGAAGTCAGGAGGGTGGTATAGGCTTTTTTTATCAAAACATTTATTACTTCTTGCTTGTTATGTGAAAGAAACATTTTTAATAAACATTTACAACAGGAAAGAAATTAAGATGAATTGTTAGTGATAAGCAGTGATGTTAGGAGGAATGTCAGGAAAGGTATCTGCAGTAATGTTTGAATATAAATAAAGGTTTTTATTATATTCTANGTAAACATAATTTAGATATAAGATTAGTACTTAAAAATTAGTCCTACTCATAAATGTAGAATTAATCTAATTAATGAATTGAAACTGAAATAATCCCAAAATTAATTATAATTCTTTAGAGATGTAAAAGCTGGGAACATATTACTGACCGAAAATGGAACTGTTAAATTGGCTGATTTTGGCAGTGCTTCTATTAAATGTCCGGCGAATTCTTTTGTTGGAACTCCTTATTGGATGGCTCCAGAAGTTATTCTCGCGATGGACGAAGGGCAGTATGATGGGAAAGTGGATGTTTGGTCTCTGGGAATTACGTGTATTGAATTGGCCGAAAGAAAGCCCCCTTATTTCAACATGAATGCTATGTCAGCACTATATCATATCGCTCAAAATGACACACCCACGTTACAGTCAAACGAATGGTCTGATATTTTTAAACATTTTGTCAAGTCTTGTTTACAGGTGAATAACAAAATTTTTAGTTATTGTTTTGCCACTTTATCCATAATCTAAAGAAAACCTGACAATAAATAAACAAATATTAATTTCAGAAATTACCAGCGGAACGTCCGAATTCTTCAAAATTGCTTTCGCATCAATTTGTGACCCGACATAGACCAAATAATGTTCTCATTGATCTGATTCAACGAACGAAAGCGGCCGTCAGAGATCTAGATAACTTGAATTATAGGAAAATGAAAAAAATTTTGATGGTTGATAATAGTGAAATTGAAAGTACCATTGGTGAGTATAGGTTGTTGAAATTTCTTACGAATTTATATTAAAAAGAGAACTGTGATTTTCAGGAGATATGGATGATACACCCGACGAGCACACGGGAGGCGACAGTTCTAAGAGCAATTCTGTTACGTCCGAACACAGTGTTCATTCCGTTGGTGTTTCCGCAAGTAGTCAGTCAAGTAGTACCAATAGCCTTCCAGCAGGTATGTAAAGACACGAGCTTACATTATCGTCTGATTTGTATTTATTCTCAGAAAACAGAAACATCATATTAATTTTTTTTCAAAGGTGGTGATTTAGAAAGTACAACAAAGCGACAGCGTCCACCGACTTCAAATCATGCTGCAGTGGCAGTTATAGCCGATCACGGGGCTAATAATTTTGCTACAATTCGAACTACCAGTATCGTCACAAAACAACAGAAAGAACATATGCAGGTAAATTTAAATGTTTACAAAAAGAAGTAAAAGTTTATTGTATGTCGTATCATTATTCATAATGTATATTTCTTAAGGAGGAAATGCACGAACAGATGTCAGGCTATAAAAGAATGCGTCGAGAACATCAAGCAGCTCTCATGAAACTTGAAGAGAAATGCAAAATGGAAATGGAAAGTCACAAAATTCAGTTGGATAAAGAGTACGAATTTCTTTTACAAACATTTAGCAAAGATTTAGAAAAGTTGCAGGTGACTGTTTTATATTTTTGAGAAGTGATAAAATACTTACAATTACTAAATTTTTTATAGTTAAAACACCAACAAGAACTTGAGAGAAAATTAAAACAAAATCAAGTGGGTGAGAAAAAGCTTACTAAAGACATAATGACCCGACAAGATCTTGATCGAAAAGCTTTCGACGCTCACAGAAAGAAGGAATATAAGGCTAATAAGGAACGATGGAAACGTGAACTATCACAGGACGATTCGACTCCAAAAAGACAAAGAGATGCGACATTACAGTCAGTTAAATTAATAATAATTGTCTATCCTTGTGGAGCTTATATAAACTTACTTTTTGAGTAGCAACAAATAAAAAAAAATAACTGAGTGCATACATTAAGTAAGCTCAATAAAAGCTCCACAACTACTAGATAAGATCCCATTTGCAAAAGTAGTATTAGAATTAAAATTAATGAATAATAGACTAAACTTAATGCTTATACTATTTACAAATGGCAATACAATTACTGTTAGACATTTATTTAATTAAATCAAAGTATAATACACGTTTATCAATATTTCGTTGTAGAACACAAAAAGACAATTTGAAATTGGTTGAAGCCCAAGAAGAACAAAGACTTTTGAGATTGCAAAGAGAATATTTGGAATTGGAGGTTCGCAAGTTTAAAAGAAAAAAGCTACTGTCATTCCATACATTAGAACAAGAACTATTAAGAGAAGTATATGTGCAAAGATAAAATAATATATGTTTTCCAACGTTAATATTTCCGCAGGAACTTAACAAAAGACAGCAACAATTGGAACAAGCTCACGAGATGCTGCTGAGACATCATGATAAAACACAAGAACTAGAGTATAGACAGCAAAAAGCAGTGCATAATTTACGCGAGGAACAGGTGACATTGATAAATTAATTTGCTATATTTATTTTGTTTATAATTTTGTCTTTACAGCTACAAAAACAACATAGTACAGAGTTAACAAACCAAGAAGAATACATGAGACGTTCGGAAAGAGAATTGAGAAAAAAACATGCAATGGAAATTAAACAACAGCCAAAATCATTAAAGGTAAATTGCTGACTAAAAATCAATCAATATACGTACGTTTTTTTAATATATATTTTTTTTTCTTAAAGCAAAAGGAAATGATGGTCAGGAAACAGTTTCGCGAAACTTGTAAGGTACAAACGAAACAGTACAAAGCTCTGAAGGCGCAAATACTGCAAACCACGCCGAAAGAAGAACAAAAGGCTGTGATAAAGAAATTAAAAGAAGAACAGAGACGAAAATTAGCTCTGCTTGGTGATCAGTATGAACAGAGCATTGCGGAAATGCTTCAAAAACAATGTATACGCCTTGACGAAAGCCAGGAGGTATGCAGAGGCGATGTTTGTATGTATTATTTTAATATTTTTTTATGCTACGATGTTGGTAGATCGAAGCGCAGCAAATGAGAGAGAGACTGCATTATGAATTAGAAATTCTGATGGCCTACCAAAGCAAGAATAAGATTCAAGCACAAGCGCAAAGAGATAGAGAACGTAAAGAATTGGAAGAACGCGTATCCCTCAGGAAAGCACTTCTTGAATCTAAAGTAAGTGGCACAAATTATTATAAATACCAAAAGTCGACGAGACTATTAATTTCTGAGCCTATTTTAGAAAGGGCTAAGTCTATAAATATCAAGTTGAGCGCACTACGCTTATTTAACTTTGTTCGGTATTTGTTTCTTAACTACAGACAATAAACTATAAGCAGGATTAAATTGAGTCTGCTTATCGTTTGTACACTGCAATTAATCAACAATTATCGAAGAAAAGTAAATTAGTGTATATACTATATTTGAAATTGTAGAATTTGTAGATTGTTATGATTATAATTACTATTATTTTAAATAATATTAGATGAGTCAGGAAACTCAAAGATTTTTGGAAGAGAGGGCAGAAAGAATAAGACTTTTACACGAGAAGCAAGAGAGAGAATTGGAAGAATTTGACGAAGAGTCAGCAAGGCTTGGATTTAGGTATGTGTTTTGTGGCCGATACGTGTACATTTATATTGAAATTAGAATTTTTAGTGTGTTGGCGATTGCAGAAGCAACAAGGGAAAATTACGACGACAGCCGCAGTTTATCAGGCTCTATGTTAAGTCTTGCTCATTCTAATAGTTCAACAAGTTTTCCACCTGGGTCACTCTAGTATTCCACTAAATATTTGCTGTTTTCTGGTTGCTTCGTTTAGTCCGTTAGCCACGTCTCATTTGGTTTATTTTAACGGGGCAAAGATAAAACCGATTAATATACATATACATAACATATTTAACTTACAAAAGATAACATGTTGATTAAAGTTTCTAATTTAAGCTTTAAAGCTACCTACTGTTTCGATCGTCATTTTAAACAATAGTTAAATCACTAATTAGTTGCTTTATGCTCTGTTAAAGTAACGTAAAACGTACAGTAATAAAACTTCATCATGGGTTTGCGTTTAATTACAACGAGAAGAAATGCGAACAAATCGGCGAAACAAATACTGTTATTAAAATATCTTGTCGTTTTACCGTATCTTTTTTTTTTTATTTTTTACTTAAGTTTAATAAGTTAGTGTATCTATGAATATTTTAATAAAATAATGTAGCCAATGTAACTGTTATTAGAAGTTTACATTACTTTTTGTAACTGTATTTGCTAGATCATCTCTTTTCCCCTTGAAGCACATAAAAACCTATCATTTAATTAATCGAACCAAACGATGATCATATATGACGAAAATACGTTAAAAAAGAAACATCGCTTGCTAAATGTGAAGGTGGTTTTTTTTGTCGCAGTACAGTAACGTTTTCTTTAAAAAAAAAAAAGAAGAAATCGTTCGGTTGTAATCGTCAAGCGTATTAAAATTTTTGACGTGTGTATCTACAGAGCCGATTAAATTAGTAGATTGGTATTTTATTGAAATTGTTTTGTACATTCATTGGAATTATTATAGTATTAGGAAATGTTGGAGCGGCCGGCGCCGGCGTTCTAATAGTATTTATTATTTGTAAAACGTAGTAACAATTTATCTGATTTAGTTGTGTATATATACCTATACAAATAATTATCATATTATGTATAATTTAGTTGTTTAAAATAATCGACATGTTTCAATTTCACTGTGCATATGTTATTATGTACATTTTTTGTTACTCGCCTTCTAAACTGTAAAGGAATAAAAATCAAACGTTTTATACTATTTTCTTTATCTTCTTGATATAGAGTTTTTATTTGAAATAGGTAAACAAATAATCCCCCTTATCATTACATCTTTCTGTAAGGTGTTTGCCAAATAATAGTAATACCTCCCTTAACAATAGACGCTTCTGTCTCCACCTTTTTTTTATATAAATCTAAGATAAACGTTGTTTTACCCCTTTTCGAAATCGTTCGGCAATTTCCTTTTGCATAGCAGCTTGGTCTTGTTGACTAGCTTTTGTAATTTGTTCCATTACCTCATGATTATACGTTGAGTGCAACATAAGTGCCAATACTCCAGCTCTAGAAGCCATGGCATGTCTTATTTGACGTTCCTTATCTAATAATTCGTCCATCTTTAACCACTGTCGTACTCTTTCCAGATCAATCTAAATGATAAAAATTAAAACCTGTGAATAAATCTGTATTATAATAGTCATCGCATTACTAAAACTAATCAAATTCAACCACCTACTGTTAATCGTGAAATAGAAAAGAAATCAGTCTATTTAAATTGAGAACTTAGCTATCACGTAATTAATAAATTAAATAATACCCATTGCTTTTTGTTTTGTTTATGTTTGTGTTTTAATAATAATTAGTTTATGTATGTTATTAATTAAATAATAATAGTATAAGTACTATTATTAGTATTATGTGCCAGTCCTGCAAATAGGTAATTTAT